AGGGAGAGGGAACATTTAGGTGAAAGACCAGGAGTTAGGACTGGACGTCCATACATGAGTTCAAAAGGTGAAATGAGGAGAGGTTGCTTGGGAAGGGCCCGTAGCCTGAAAAGAGCCAGAGGTAGGAGTTTTACCCAGTCAAGGTGAAGTTCCTGTGACAGCTTGACAAGAGTGGTTTTTAAAGAGCAGTTGGCTCTCTCTATCTTACCTGAAGATTGAGGATGATAGGGGATATGAAAATGCCAGGGGATGTCTAGGGTCTTAGAGTCTGAGAAACTTGGGAAGTAAATTCAGGCCCATTGTCTGACTGGAGGGAGGCGGGGACACCAAAATGGGGGATGATCTCTCTGAGGAGGAGATCAGAGACTGTCTGAGCCCTTTTGTTAGTTGTGGGAAAAGCCTCTACCCAGCCTGAGAAGGTGTCCACAAGACCAGGAGGTACTTGACACGTTTTACAGCAGGCATGTGGGTAAAGTCAAGTTGTCAGTCAGTTCCAGGAAGGGAACCTCTAGCCTGATGCGTAGGAAAAGGGGTGCTATGATACCTTGAGTTGGGATCTGACATCTGACAGATTTTGCAAGAAGCAGTGATAGATTTTAGGAAACTTAAGTTCTCAGGAGTAGGCTGTAGGTGGGTCTTAACAAAATAAGACAGCACTTGGCTGTTAGGATGAAAGAGTTGGTGATATGAGCAGGAAGGGCCTGTGCCTCCACCACCTTGGTGTCTGACACTATGGCATAGCCAGCTTTCCTGACCCCTTCATGAAGAAAGGAGCTTCCATCTGTATACCAGGTAAAGGTGGCTTGAGGCAATGTGCCTGGGCAGGTTCTTAAGGGGATGGGTTGGGGAGGAAATTGAACTTGTTGGTTTGACAATGACTAAGTGCCCTTCCTCAGGTATGGAGTCTGGGGGTCTGGCTCCCCAAATAAGGTCAGGCAGAGAAGAGGAACCCCTGATGGAAAAGGGAATTCTCCGTTTTGCACCAGGCTCAGAGGAGCTATTCAGGCATGGTAGACTGCAAGCTTAAATAGCAAGGTTTCCCAATATCTCCCTCTATAGTAGTTATAATGGAGAGGTGTTACAGTAGTCCTCAGCCTGTATGTTGGGGAAAGTTTAGTATTGAACCAGAACCCTATGGCAGTGATTTTTGCAATGCTACTTATCTGCCATTTAAAAAATTGGGCTAGGCAGGGTGCCAGGAGGAGCAAGGCTCCCATGGCCAGAACCGGACCAAGGAGGGGAAGAAGCCAAGTCATAAGATGTGAGACAAGCTGACTCCATGACAGGCTTCAAATTGGCAGCTCAGGAGAATAGGCCTAAACTTCTGTTCCCAAGAACTGGGCAAGTCTAGACAAGTCCAGGCCCCAAAAGCTGCCCTGCCACCTGGCCTGAGGCAAGGACAATGGGTCAGCAGCAATTTTCAGACTTCCCCAGAAATGGTTCTGGAATGTCCCTAGAGATAGAGCTAACAATAGAGGTCACCTACCCTTCCCTGGAATTCCCCTAATGTGCTTTAAATTGGGTTTGCAAGCTCACTTGGGCATCTCTGTCTTGGAATGGGAGACCCCAGCATGCTGTGAGAGACCTAAGTGGAAGCCCAGAAACACAAGCTTAAGCAAAAAAAAACAGGTCCCAGGGTGAAACATACCTAGCCAGCTGCTGCTGCTGGGAGTCACTGGTCCTGCTGCATTCTTTTCTGCATTCAAGGGATACCATTTCCTAGCAACCCTACCACCCAAATGACCCATGAGAGTCTTGTAGCACTGTTCCTGAAAATATCACGAATTGCTTATGACCAGATGTTCTCCAGATGGCTAGGCCAGAGCCATTTGTTGTCTTGGCACCTAAAACAAACCAATCATTTTAATCATTATACACACACACACACACACACACACACACACACACACACACCACACCTGAGGAACAATTGTTACCGTCAGAAGCCTTGAAAAGGGGATTTAATGCAGGAATCAGTAGCACATATTGGCTTGGTGATAGCAACGTAGAAGTTGTGAGGCAAAGGGGGAGGGGAAGGTCAAAGAGGAATGTTTTGTAACTTCTGTGTTGGTAAGGACTCATGAGGGTTCACAAAGCTAGATGTTAATGGGAACAGTCGCCAACAGGGGCCAGGAGAGGGAAGCACAGAAGATACATTGAGGAAGTTGGGTTGGGTGGTTAGGGGAAGGAGATTGGCCGTATATTTGATGTACTGTAGCCAGGAAAGGGTAGTTTGAACCTCCTTCCCAGTTTCATTTTCCCGTTGAAGAATGCTAACATGGGCAAGTATTGATTTGGAGGCAGGGACAAGCTGGCAGGAGATATGTAGGTCAGCTATGGGGCACTTAGCAGATCCATTAGGGTAGAACTTACCCACAATTCCCATTCACTACTGTTCATCCTAGGGACCGTCGCCGGGAAGCTGAAAAATTAGTTTTAAAGTTGGTGAGCAAGGTGCAATCACAACTGGAACGTTCAATTTGCCATTCCCAAAGTCTGAAACCTCCAAATCTGAAGGCCTCATGGAAGCAGTCACCTGGGTTGCAGTAAGGAGAGTGGAGGGAAGGGCTGGGGGTTATTTATTCACCTACTTAAGGTAGCTGAGAAAGGAAATACCATGTTAATTATGCATCTGGAACAGGCAGTAACAGCTTGTCTGGGAAAAATAAACTGGCTTAAGTAGATGGTCTTATTTTTATTAATTAAAGAGTAAATAATAGTTGTTATGTAGTCCGTTTTGGGCAGGCTGCATTGTCCCAAGCTATGCCTTTTCAAACTTTAGCAGCAAAACTCTATCATTTCTGCAATTTAGGTCTTCCAGGTCTGCGTTGACTTTCATAAGCAGTCCTCCCAGAGGGTGCAACAGGCAACAGGCAGATCTGGCGGGTCCTTTCTGCCTGCTTCACAACCCCCAGCCACCTGCTCTGGCTGCCCATGCAGTCTGCCTGGTTGTACATTGCCCCCTGGCTGTGTGCCACCATAGCCCAGCAGGAGGCATCAGGATATTTGCAACTCTAGAAAGTAAAAAGAGAGAGGGAGATAGACATAGGTGCCTGGTGGCACCCTGCTGTGGGGGAGGTTGGGAGTCGGGACCTGTGAGTTTGAGGGACGGGCGACTCTGTCTCAAGTCCAAGACAAGTGGAGTGCTTTGGCAGTAGCACATTGCAGGCTTGGGCTATGGGAAAAACCTGTTTAAAACGGTGATCTGACTTTGTGAGGATACAGCCCAGGTGAGGTGCTTATCAACTGAGACCAGTCCAAGGCTCGAAAACTCCTGGTGGGGTCACAAGCAGGAGAGAAGGCGGAGCCAGCCGAGGGATCAACAAGCTCTCTCTCCTCTCTTGCCTGGAGATAGGAGGCCAGGGGATTGTGAGGCTCTTCCTCCATTGCCTTGGTGGGTTCTTGGAGACTGTAGCTAAGTGGATCAAAGGAAAGAGAACCGGGGTTCTAGCTCCACTTTGGCAGAGGAGTGGGGAAAGCTGTGAGTTGGTGTGGCGATTCACTACGGTTATAAAGGCATCCTGCAGGGTGTTGTTTTGATGAGCCAGGGGAAAAGGAGTGGGGGAGGCCACCCCCTGGCATGGCTGGTTCATGCAATACTTCTTCAGAGTTCAGGGGTTGCCGAGCAAAAGGAGGGGAAGTAGATGGGGTTGAGAGTTCACTTGTGTGTGTGTGTGTTTAAATAGGGGACCTTAATAGGGCCTGTATTTTTCCAATCTGAGGGGGTGTTTTTGTTTTTGTTTTTTAATGTGATGTAGTGCACTCCATGATAGAAAAGAAAAGAAACACCTTGTCCAATGGGAATGTTTCTGCAGCATTTTGGGCTCCAGGATTCCACAGAGGTCCAAAAACATTTAGTGTTCCCAAAGATTTTTAAGAGTTTCACTGGCCACCCTAAATGGTATTTACTGGCTGCTGTGTTACTTTTTTTTTTTAATTTTTGTTTCAAGAAGAAATTAGACAGAGGCTCTTTGCTAACTCTTGTATGGGCTGTCGGGTTTCACACTGAGGTCTAGGGACCTTATGCCAACACCAGAGAATGTTCTGGCTAGAAGGCGTCAAATGTCCTTTTTTATGTATCTGAATCCACATAATGGCTCTGACAGAGAACAAAGTAGAAAAGAGAGTTGCCTGTCTTTAGATCTTTAGAGTATGGAGGCTTAAGCCTTCGGATTGATGACAAAGAGCAGGGGATGGCATTGGAGGGGGGTGCGGGGGGGGGGGACGACCACACTAACGCTTTCTTACACTGGAGATCCTGTTAAATCCGGGTGGGCACCAGCTATTATGATTCTGCTTCTTCCCTCAGGGTGTCTAGGCACTGGCTGTACAGCAGGCTGGAAGGATGAAGAGAAATCCAAAAGGGGTGGGGTTTACAGTACTCAATGAAAGAGCTTTTTTTTTGTTTTGTTTAGTTTTGTTTTTGGTTTTTTGAGAAATAGCTCTTAAGAGAGCTTAAGAGGATCGTCAGTGAAACAGCTTGTGCACATACACTATACATGAACCTGGGTGTGTAGGAAGGAGTTTTCAGGGCAAATGTAAATTATTGGATGAAGTTTGAAGTATTGGGAATGCCTCATTTGCATGGAGAAGCACTCTAGGAATCCCAGGTACTTGCTAGGCAGGTTCTTATGGTAAAGAGGAAGGGAAAGAGGAAGTTGAACTTATAGATTTGCCAACAACTACCTGAACGTCCTCAGGGAGAGGTGTGAGGGTCAGGTTTCCCAGATAAGGTCGGGCAGAGAAGGAGACGCCCTGCTGGAAGAGGGAGTCCTCCATTTTGCCCCAAGCTCAGAGGACTATATTAGAATAAACTGTGTTCCCAACTTTTTAAAAAATTATATCATGATGTCTTTTTGTTTAGAATATTCAAAGTTATATGATCCCATTTTCCCTCCTGTATTCAAGGTGAGTGAGTGAGATACTTTCACCCTAATAGCCCATTTTCAGATTGGCCCTATAGTTCTATGAATCTTAAGAGAGACAGACAGACCCGTAACTACATGGAGAGGACTTTATTGGGGGTGCTTACTGCTCTATGGTGGCAGGAAGAACAGCTGGGTCCCCACAAAGTTGGATGTATGTATGGCCTAGGGAAAAATTGATTTCATCTCAGCTGGATATACCTGGATTAAGCTCTTACCAGAACCAGACACATCCCAAAGCCCCAAAGACTACTCTAATACTTTATCCATTTAAAATCTACTGAGAAGCTTTGCAAGAAAACCCAACAGTTACTCAAAGACAATCATGATTGGTTACAACTCAAGATGGCTCTAATTGTGTCAAGCCGAGTCCATACTCAAGATGGCTCTAATGGAGTCAAGCTGATTCCATATGAATACTGTTGACTACATGTGCTGCTCTAAACCTGAACAGAAGACTAAATGCTTTAAATATCTATAAAAGCAAATGTTTAGAGCCTCCTAGGTGGTCACTGGGGAAGACAGAAGAAGGCAAATGGCAATACATGCCCTCCTTCTCAAGCAATGAGCCTGCTCCCAAGTCTTGTTGGGTCTTGCTTCAGGGTGCTTAGGCATCTCTGAACTTTCTGATCACTGGGGTTGCCACAGACCCGGTTGTTCTTCTTGGTGACAAAGCTGAAGAAAAAGGAGAAGGAAGATTATAAACAGAGCTCTCTAGTAAAGAGGGAAGGGGAGCCCCATCCATGGAACCCTCTGATTTTCTACTCAAAGGTCTGTTCTTTCCGGGAGGTAGCTTGCCACCATCATCCCCTCTCTGGGGGCCCCTCCCTAGGCCTGTGAGATTCTCAAAGGACTCATGAAGTGACTCAGTCAGATTTCTGCCTGCTGTCTTCTTCTCTACACCCTGAAGTATCCTCCCCCTCACCTGGTGGGATCCAAGGATGGGCCTTTTCTGGAAGTCTATCCACCAGGTCATCTAAGATCCTGGAGGCTCCCTCTCCCCATAACACACAATGAGTGAGTTTGACACTTACATGATGCCCGGCTTGGCACATCCACCACTGGTTGGAAAATAATATATAAATCTTGAACATGGAATCTGTGAGGCATAGGAGAAGCAGCAGTCTGATGAGTCTTGAAAGCCTATAGGAAGACAAATGGCCAGGCCATTGTTCTCAAGAGTGCTGTAGGAGAGGGGAATCCCGTGGAGATTGAGAAGGGTCAGAACTCAAGGGATGTTTCTGCACTTAGTAGGCAGACTCAGGGCACCGAGGTATATGCAGAGAAGGCATCACTGAGTTGAGTCTCCATACCACATCCCACTCTTTCCAGAGATGCTCAGCACCTCCCGTCCTGTTCTGCCATGGGGGAAGGTGAAGCTATAATGCCAGACCCACCCAGCCTTTTAAACATGTTACATCTGGTCATTTACCGTGATGAATTATTGGAGGGTTATAGTGATGATCTGCTTCTGCCGTTTCTGGAAGACACAGACAAGGTGGGGAAATAAATTCATGGTTGCAGCATTATATTTACTCCACCATTCACCATGTATTCCATCCCCAGTTTTTGGTGAACAAAGCAAAATCTTGCAGCCCAGGGTGGCCTTGAACTCTCAACTCTACAGCACCAATCCTGGAGTGCTAAGACTACTGAGTGCACCACCATGCCTGACTACCCTTCTCCCATCTGAAGGAAGCAGGCTCTGTTGTTGGATCTCTGTTAACCCATCTGGGTCAAAGGTCTGCCCTAGGCTAGTGTGTCTTGTTACTATGAGATTTTTCCCCACCCTACGATCCTTTGAAAATATTTCAGGAATAAACACATTCTGTAGATTCTAAACTACTAAAAACAAGCTGCAAACCTAACCCAGGCAAGTTAGCTGCAGTTTGTGATAGGCCAGTTGTGTCTACACATCTGCCATCTATGGGACTTTAGAAACAAATTTTCTAGCAACTCATTTGATGGTGTGGTGTCCTTTGTAGTGTAGTGAAGTGTTTTTTTTTTTTTAAACTATACTTGTCCCATTAGTATAAAGGTATTGTTGTAGGAATGTTACTTTGTTACTATGTTTCCTAGATTGTATCTGGCATAAGAGACAGGGGCAAGCTTTTGTGTGTGTGTGTGTGTGTGTGTGTGTGTGTGTGTGTGTGTGTGTACAAGTGAAAATCAGAAGACAGCTTAATTTTGTGTAAGTAGTTCTCTTCTTCTATCTTCACATAGGTTCTGGGGATCTAACTCAGGTGGCTAAGCTTGCAAAGCAGAAATCTTTACTACTGAACCATCTTGCCAGTCTCCTTTAAGTAATTTATAAGTGTCCAGTTTAATAATATCAAGTACATTCAAACTACTGTGTAACTACCACCTCATCCACTAATAACCTCTCTAGCCTGCAAAACTGAAACCCAGAACCCATTAAATGTTACCTTTCCCCTTCCTCCCCTGTTAGCTTAGTGAGCACCATTTTACCACCTGGGTTTGATTTCTTTTTTTTTTTTTTTTTAAGACAAGGCATTACTGGGTTGCTCAAACTGACCTCACACTCCTGATTCTGCCACCTCAGCTTGCCAGCAGCTGGAGTTACAGACATGCACTTCCATGCCTCTTTTGCCTTTCCAAATGACTCCTTTAAGTGGCACTTGTGAGTGGAACCAGTCAGTACCTGCCCTTGGTGACTGGCGTATTCCCCTGGTGATACCAGTGCCAGGTGTTCTTCCTTTTTGTTGCACATACCACCAGAGTGCCTTCCTTCTCAACGGTGAGTAATATTCCACTGTAGAAGTGTGCCTGTCACACTGTACTTACACACTCATCTACTGATGGAGGTGTAGTGTCTTCTCCTTTTGTGTGATGCCAATGAAAAGAATTGAATGAAAATCTTTTCATGTATCTATTTTGAATTTTCGTGGCCAAGACTCAGAAGTGAAATTGGTGTGTGTCATGTTAACTTACCAAAACTCTACTTAATGCATTGCAAAATTCACATAGCGCCAAAGATAAAGTATTGTAAACCTGCCTTGTGATAATTAGGCCAATGCAACTCAAACAACCTTCCCTCCTTATTTCTCCCTCCTTCCTCTTCTCTTTCCCTCCCCCTCCCTTTTGCTTTTCCCCTCCCTCCTTCTTTCTCCTTTCCTTTATCCCTCCCCCATTTCCCTTTTTTCTAACTTGTAGTTAGGTTATCGCAGCTGAAAAGATAGCTTTTAAAAGCTGATTTTTAGTGACCGGAGAGATGGCTCAATAATTAAAGCACTTTTTGCTTTTTCAGAGGACCAGAGTTCAGTTCTCAGCATCCATGTCAGGTGGCTTATACTGCCTGTAACTCCAGCTCCAGGAGATCCAACACCTTCTTCTGTCCTCCAAAGGCATCTGCGCACAGGTGTGCATGCACACACTCAGACACGTGCGTGCATAAAAATAATAAGTCTAACTAAAATATTGGCATTCACTTCTTATATCAAAGCAAAATTTAATGATTTTGACAGTAAGGATTAAGCTATCAACTCATCCAAAAATTGCTTTCCATTGTTCTTAGCTGATTTCTTAAGAGTTGGTCTCCTATCTTTGGGGCTTCCACATCCACAGAGCCAAGCAAGGAAACATTTCCTGAAACAAAACTGGAACTCTAGAGACTTTTTGCCATGGTTCCCTGGACAACAATATAGTGTGTTTTCACTGACATTTAAGTTGTTTTAAGTCTTACAAATATCTAGAGTTTTTTTTTTAATTGCACAGATGAAGATGTGTGTGGGTTATAGACATGAAATCTGTAGATTTTGATATCCACACGGGTCTAGGGTCCCAGGACACCAAGAGATGGTATAATTAGTATGGCTTACATTAAAGAGGCACATGGATTCATTGTAACATGCTTCCCGTGTTCTAGGTAGAGCTTGCAAAACCCAGAAAAGATCCCAAATGACCATGTCTGTCTATACTCCATTCCAGACTGCCCCTATCCTAATTCCACCACTCACTAGCCTTAATTTTGAGGCTATAACTTCTGATTCAGTTTTTTCATTTATAAAATGACAGCAATCATGGTAATAGATATACAAAATCACTGATGGCTTACTGTTTTCTTGTACAAAAAAAAAAAAAGGCAACTTCCCATTGTTTAACACGAAACCTACCTCACAGGGCTGTTAGGAGGTGGCAGTGTGCTAACAGCTATGAGATAAACAGAACAGTAGCTGTCCAGCACAGAAGAAGCACTAGCTAATGCATTTGTCAAATAAAAGAATAGCGTGGTTAAACAGTCTTGATTGAATTGATTACCTGCCTGTCCTACTTCAAAACAACGGTGTTGTTAGAAGTGGTGTCCGGCACTTTAACCATCATGCTTCCTGCAAGACTGCTACCCTCCCACTTAGAATTTTACTCCCATTCTTTTGAGTTAACCTAGTCCTGTGTCAGCTAAAGAAACTTATCAAGCATAATTATTACCTCTGTGTCAAGTTTCCTCCAGGGCCTGAAGACTACAGACAGAGACAGATCTATATATAACCTGATGTCCTTTTTAAGGAAATTCCATCACCATGTCAAGGATAGAGTATTTCCAGGAGGGCAGTGATCTATTTCCTTAGATCCCCTTCAGTTCTGTAGTTCTCACAGACTTGTTCCCTGAGTTCAGAAGGCTTAGTGAACTCACCTTGTATGAGCCCAGCCTGGGACCCAAGGACGGCCACAAGGATAAAGAATGAAATGGCAGTCTTGGAGTTTCTCATCCTCCTGGAGGACAGGCCCAGCTGGTCTGAGAATTTCTGCTCACCCCTCCCTGACTCTGTGGCTTGCCCTGGTATTTATTAGCTAGGAGGTTCAGGAAGTGCCAGGGTAGAGGTCAGAATGCTGTCCCTAGCTACATAATACACAACAGGCTAGTTCTAAAAGAGGGAACAAGATTGAAAATGCAACAGGAAGAGGAGGGCCAAGAATGCAACAGGAAATGAAGGCAAAGGTCATGGTGGGCTAGAAAAACAGGGACAATGAAGGGGGTGTTAGAGAGAAAGGAGGCCCCCACTCAGAGGTCTTCTTGTTGATTAAGGCCTGTGCTGGACCACATAACTAGTAAGTGGTGTAATTAGGGTAAGAGCTAGCCTGAAAGGGGGTATGAAAAGACATGGTCATTTGCAATATTTTCTGATTTTTGCAAGCTCCACCCAGAACATGTGAAACCTGTTATAAGCTAAGAGTCAAGAATTCCAGCATAATTAACAAAGAAAAGTTGCCTATAGAGACAACATTCCTTTTCTACAGAGAAATTTTAAAGAGAATGTTAATATAGCAATGAATTAGGCTGCTTACATACTTATCAAATAGCAATAAACTATGTTCAATAATACTTGGTTTTTAGATACGGCCCAATTCTCTTCTCAGATGTGAACATGTAATTTTCTGAGAATCTTACAAATAAGACTATAAGTTTCATTATAGTGAAAACGTATTTTAACTTCCTTGTGGGATCCTCGTGACCAAGGGCGATACCATATGAGCTGCAATCCTCCTTGTAATCCTCAAGAACCACCCTCTGATCTCATCTACTAAAAAAGAGAAAATAAAGTTCTTGGCAGCCCCTTGGGATATAACTTCAGAGGCTACCAAAGTTATATATGTGGCTGTTGTAACTTAATCGTAACTTTTCTGTGACTCTCTTGGGAGGTCCATGCCTACACCTGAGTGTGTAATGTCCATTTCCCAAGTGTCTTTATTCACAATCGTATATAAGTTTATGTTTAAAAAAATCTCATTCTAGTAAAATCCAACTCTAGAGTTAGAAAGGCAGCTTAATTGTTAAGAACACAAGCTGCTGCTGCAGAGGACCCCAGTTTGGTTCTCAGCAACCACAATGGGCAGCTTGCAACTGCCTGTAACTCCAGCTGCAGAAGGATCTGACTGATGTTTCTGGCCCCTGTGAGTACTTATACATGTACATGTGTGCGGGTGCATAACCACCACACACAGACACACAAATAATATACATAATTAATACTAACAAATAAATCTTTCTTTCAAACCCTCCCCATGCTGCTTCATGGCTGCACTGAAAATTTTGTTAATACAGTCAAGCACCCTGCTTCATCTGTGCTAAGGTGTCTGGAAAGAACTTCCCAGGCTGGTACACAGCAGTATGGAGCTGTGCCCAGTTCATGCCCTACTTACTACTGCTATTGACGTCTTTTCTGGTGACTACAAATAGACCGGCTCCGAAGCAGCATTGGTGAATTTCCCTGATGGCCACTTAGCTGCTCTCCTCTACCCCTTTGGCTTATGGGTTGCTCCCATTTCTCTCAGTTTCTGAGCAGAGATTCACACAGTGTTTGATGAGTGACACTGGCCTTGAATAGAGAGATCTCCTTGGAGCTGTTTATACCCCTCTCCTGGGTCAGATGGAAAAAACATGGGAGTCCAGAAGGTTAACACCACAAGGAGTGTTCCACCATGGTCTTACATGGTCTTCTCCTCTGGGAGGCGTGCCTGAGACCCTGTTGGTGTGAACAGACTCTGCTATGACACCTAGAGTCTCGAACCTCATTTTGGATCTAATGTGTTCTTGATCTGAAACGCACTAGGGAAGGCTGCTTCTGTGTGTGACAGGCTCTGATCCCTCTCTTGAGTCTAAAATCTTCCTATTGGTCCTTCCTTCTTTGTCTGCTTGTTTTGAGACTTGTCCCCTCAGATGCAGGGAACTCTGTGCTCTCTTCCCCAGTGCTGGATTGCCAGCTTGCTTTTTATAGCCAAAGCTTTCTTCTGCTGGAGATATAGATCCTGTTTAAATTTCAGAGTCTCACCACAGGATGTTCTGAGGCTTCTGGAGCTTGCCCATGTGTCAATAAGCAAATTTAGACTCCATGTTTCTCATCTCAGGAGAGGGTTAAAACCCCACATCTTGGGTGTAGCTTTCTCTAAACTTGCAACAAGGCACAGTTATGTATTCAGAGAAGGTCTCCAGGAAAGCCTGGGAAAAAATTATTCTCCTGAGCTGTAATCTGTTAATGATTGTGAGACAGGGCACTAGGGCCTTGTCCAGGTTGGAAACCCAGTAGGACATCCCAGGATACTTTCTTTTACATGCGCAAATGCACAGAAGGAACATAGCTTAGTCTCAGTATAAGTTAAAAAGTGGAGGAATATGGCTCAAAATAACATTTTAGAAAATTTTGTCTTTGAAGGCATTATCTCTCCCTCTGGCTCAGCATTCAGCATAGGAAAAAGTTTAAGTAAGTCTGCACAAGTTTTGTATTTTAGCCCTCACCACTGTCCACATGAGCCCTGCACAATATACTTTATACCTTTTGTTATTGAGGGTTGCTGCTTTGGAAGTACAAATTTTAGACTAAGGATTGTTTAGTGCCATGGAGGAAATACTTCAAATCAACATCCTAACAGATGACACACATGAATGAAAGCTATGGAATCTTTGGTCTACTTTTTATGGACAGCTATCCTGTGTACTGTCTACTTGTACATAGCACTAAATTGTCTTAGAAGATAAAATGATTGGTCATGTAATCTGAAATGTTCAATTAGCCAAAATTCTTTCTAGTTCATAGTATGACCTGTCCTTGGCAGCCTCAGTAGCTTATGTTCACCCAGTGTTCTCCATTCACCAGCTACAGAGATGAGTAATGGTGAAAACCAGAAAGAGAGAACTAACAGAGAGGTCCAATGTCTCTGGGGTTCATCTGGGTTTGACATGAAGTTTAGGATTAAGTAGAAAGGGCTTAAAACAATAGACAAAAAGTTATTTGAAACTTGACAGTCTTGGTCAAGGTGTGGGCTTGTTGATTTTCCTCTGTTCTAGTCCTACAAGTGTGGTTAAAATAACTTCTTATTGATTGGAGGGACAGCTGGCTTTCAGAGGATTATTGCTTCTGTTCCAGGGTGTGGCCTCACCTTCATGGATGACTGCTCTCATCTGGAGTTGGGTCTGTTAGGTGCTATCCTTCCTGGAATCCAAGGCTTTGGACAATAGCTTCTCTTTGTGCTTTCAGTTTGAGTGGTTAATGTGCTTACCTATGAGATACCTGGAAGAAAAGGAAGGCTTTGTCCTGCCATGGGCTGCATTCTGGGTCCAAATGAAAAGCTGGTGCCTTTTGACAGAAACAGTTCCTAAGTACCTCTGGCAGCAGCACTGATGTTCCTAATAAATTCATTAACTTAAATCTGATAGAAGAAAAAAAAATCAAGTGTCTTTAAATGGAAGGTTATAGTTTAGAAATTCATGTTTGGTAAAGAAGTTTAAAAGAAAAGGAAGTGTTTTAGATAAGGAAAGGAGTTTAGGTGGTAACTTTGACCTAAATAGAAGGATTGTTCCAAAATGAAATGACAAGAAGCGTGCACAAAACCGGAAAGCAGAAGGGCATGCAGACATAAGTTTAACTAAGTTGTAATGGAAGAATGTTTAATAAAAAAAAAAACCTTCGAAAGTCACATTCAGGGTCACATTTTGTCAGTTGCTCTGCAGTCAGACAATGGGATCCCAAATCATCTTTTAAATTTGTCCTTTGAAGTTTTCAACCACAGAGAAAAAATTATTTGCAGCTCAGAATGCCCAGGGAAGCAATTATAGTCACGGAAACATGCTCAGTTGATGCCTATAGCCCTGGGGAATAACATTTTCCCAGGCAGATAAGGACCTGCCCCTCTCAGGGAAACACCAGGACAAGAGGATTCCAGTGGCCCCATGCTTGCCATAGCGCCTAGCCTGGGCACTGGAAGAGATCTGTTCTTAGGAAAGGTCTAAGAAACCACTAGTGCTTTGCCCCATCTGCAAGCAATTGTGGTAAGGAGGTCCTCCTCCCAGAGAGAGGATGAGCTTTCTGAAAATGCCCTAAGAGAATTCCTCTTTAGGTCACTACAAACAACTATTGAAGAGCCTCAGGTTACTCCTGATATAGCAGAAAAAAATATTAATTTTCTGGAGTTGGAGAGGCAGCTCAGTAGTGGGCCTCAATTTGGTTCTCCACAACCACCTGTAACTCTGGTTTCAAAAGTTAGACACTCTCCTCAGGAGTCTGGGCCACTTTCACTCATCTCTCCTCCCACGTATAATTTTTAAATTTTTTTAAAAAAATATGAATTTTCTTTTCAATGCTGGGCCTTTGTTATATTCCTTAACTGATGAGTCAGGACCCCCAGGCAAATTGAAACATTGCATAGTAACCAACGCCAGTGGAGATACGTCAGAGATGAGGTGCTATTATTGTCAGCTTCAATCTTGGGACTTCCCCTAAAACATGACTCCTGAGAGTCCCACATAGGGCCAGCAAGGTTACTTAGCAGGTTGAGGCTCAACTACTCACCCAGGTGTAACTTGAAGATCATGTGTGGAAGAAGAAAATCAACTCTACAGAGTTGTTCTCTGATTTCCACATATGTGCCATGGAGTGCACACACGTGCGTGCTCGCACACACACACGCACACACTCATCATCATCATCATCACAATTCTGTGTGGTAGCTACGATGCTTAGAAACTGTAACAACTGCATGAAGCTTTGGGGCCACACAGGGTTCTGAAGCCTCCTACTCAGAATCATGAAACGCAGAAGCAGAGGAAACAGGCCACTCAGTGAGATGAGACCAATTTACTAAAAATGGCTCCTGGGCTCCCTCAGGAGAACAAGAACCTCTTGCTCTTGACTGTCATTGAGAGACATGTCTCACGGCCCCTCAAGAGACAGTTATTGACTGTCCTACTCACCTGTGGCTTTGGGGAAAAAACCTCAAATCCACAGCCCAAAACTGCCCTAAGTGCCAACGCTCTCTTTCTCTGTAATAAGCCAGGAATTTAAGCTAAACCACCACCTTTTCATCACCTG